ATACACAAATATATCATGACTACATTTCTGGTTTGTTGATAATGTGCAGTTTTAGGGAAAGTGGAAGGGGATGCTAGACTGCACGCAGGCTGCTCTCGAGTTGGCCTAAAGTATGAGCTGTGGCTGATTGGTTGTTGCGATTGCAGTGCAAGGCATTGATTGACATCATCCGATAAATAACCCCCAAAAATCTTGAAAGTATACTGAACATTCAATGTGGGTTTCTACAAAAATGGGGGTAAAATATAATTTATACACTATCTGTTTATCTGTCTGTCTATCTATCTAGCTATGTGTGTGTGTGTGTGTGTGTGTGTGTGTGTGTGTGTGTGTGTGTATTTCACATCAATTAATCCCAGAAAAATTACTGATTAATCAATTAACAAAATAAACATGAGTGAGCAGCTCTACAAATGAAAAACGTGAAGCTAATCCATGTAATCGGTTTCAGAAGTGGTGTCAACGGACCTCACTCATCATGGGTGATCGTATTGGAATCGGTTGCATAAAAACCCGATCAGAACACCCCTAGGCTTTTGTGTTCACTACAGATAAATACATAAAATATGCATGCAAAATACCTTGCAGATGCAAACAAGCCATCGGTTAAGGAATCGATTTTTTGAATTGTCTGGTTGTGTTTGCAAATGTACATTCCAAACAAAAATAAATGCACTTGAAACGTCTGACGGTCAAGAAGCAGAACCACAGCGAAATTCCTTTTCCAAATCCCCTCCTTCCTCTCAGTAATTATAGTCTCGTAGCTGACAAAGCACAGATCTGTTGTGTTTGTCTTTGCCTCTTCAGATACAACAGGTGTAGTGGGGCTTGCTGGGCTGTAAGCCACTTTTTTTTTTTTTTAACTAGTTGTGTGAGCCAAGTGTGTTCTACCCATCGTAGCTCCACAGAGACACCTCAGAGACATGAAGCCTCCCTTAGCTCCCTCCCAAAATATTGGGACGGAAATACTGTCACTGTATATCTGCCAGCTTGTGTCATTTTTAAACAGGCGGGATCCTACACAAAAACAGTCTGTTCCTCGTTTATCAATCCCTGGGAAATATAAATTCAATGAGGATGATTTATTTAAATGAGTAGAAAAGATTTGACGAATTGCAAACTGGATGGAGTTTGGATTGGAAATGGGTGAGAGGGAGGATGATGGAGCTGGGTGTGAGATGAGAATGTGATGCAAGGAAGACTGGATCAATCTTTTATCACTGCAGTGTACTTTCTTCCTTAATGGATCTGACATGAGCACAGCACTGCCTTCCGTCCCATTGCACAGGCAGGGGGAGGACACGTGGAACAAGGAGTTGTGAGAGTTAGACGGAGCTACACTTGAGGAAAAAAAAAAAAAAGACATGGACAGAAACAAAAAAGGTGGTTTGAACCACATTCCCAAAATAATTATAGCCCAAAACTATGCAGACATATTATTTCATGTCCTAGCGTCATCCAATTACCTCCGGCCCAGAATGCATCTGCGGGAGTCGGTAAACATGTCTGATAAGGACCCGAGAAATGAAGTCACTTCACAGCATGAAAAATTACTTTGTAAATTTCCATCAAGACTCCATCAAGATATCGTGCTGTGCATGGCCAAGCACGTTTTCCTTTTCACGGGAGCTAAATGACGGACAGGCGCTTTGACAGAAGCGACAGACTACCCTGCACTAGTTGATGGATCTATGTGAAAAAGCAGTGGAAAAAGAACAGTCAAATAAGGGAGTTGAGAAGATGACTCTCAGAGGATGCTGAGCTCTCACCATCCTAAAACGGGCTCATTCAAGGACAACGAGAAAAGTTTAAGCACTGAGGCAGCTGCACAGTAAGTCGGAGGAGAGAAGAAATATGCATTAAAGAGGTGTATATATAATTGAGATTGCACTACAGCAAACATACGATTGCCCTGGAATATAAGAGCAGATACTTGGCAATTCCACTGGTATGCTTTAAGGAACGAAAAATGGAAGAACATATGTTGCTTCTCCCTTTTGCAGCAGCTTCCACTTTTTTTTTGTTTGTTTGCTTTTTATTTGGGACTTTTGCAGCGCTGATATCCAATTTGGGACATGAATACTGTCATAGCGGTGTTGCACAAGGTGTAACAACCTCATAGTCCAAGTCAGGGGAAAGACTATTTCCACTTTTGACAGGAAATGCTTGGAAATTTCTCTTTGGAAGCAATAATCTGGTAAACGTTGTAAAAGTCTACTTTTTACTGACTCTGACAACTAGTCCAAGTAACCAATGACAACTCAATGTCAGACTTTAGATTAAAGGCACTCATGAGTGACATTTGGTGAGTGGCAACACATTTACAATGACCACTTGAGGTAAGATTAATGAATAACAATACTAAAAATTGGCAATAAAAAGCTAAGGTTAGCTGTGATCTTTTTTTTTTAAATATCTGAAGTCTAGTTGAGATAAGACTCTTCACAGTAGGACAGGATTTCAAGAAAACTACCGGAGCAAGTTCCAAATGATACACAAAATTGAAGAGAAAGCATGTTTGGCTCATGACATCAGACGTTTTCTTCCTGATCTACACCATGCTGGGAATCGTAACCAAAAAGCTTGGCGTGCATGACAATAACTGAATGTTGAAATAGCCTTTAACACTTGCATTGCATGATGTTATTCTTTGAGATGTGTGGCACACTAACACTTCATTGAGGTTGGGACATGCAGCACTGAACTCTGCCCGAGCCTCCAATGAATTAATCTTTAATCTTCCAGTGATAAAAGCAGCAGCCAGTGTGCAACTACAAGTACCATCCACTTGTCTCATAGTCCCAACACTGAATGATTCCTTTAAGGGGGGAAAAAACATAAACACTTGGAGCAAATTAAAACAAAAAGCACATGGAGAAGTAAAAAAAAAAAAAAAAAATCATGTGAGCACAAAGTGAGAAGTTTCGCCAAACAGGTTTGAGCCCTTCACACAGCGAGTTTGATGTCCAGACAGCTGGAAAGGTATCCTCATTGACACACAGCTGAATTATCTCAAAGTCTCATTATTTATCTGCTTCAAAATATATACAGCCGGCACTGTAGTGTGTCATTATTCCGAAAAACAAAGGCTACAGTGTTAGCTACACAGCAAACAGCTTACTTTAGAGAAACTTCCCTGTACTGACATTCAAACAAGCAAGGACACATTCAAAAGAAACAAACAAAAAAAAAATCCACTTACCAGGAAGAATATATTTTCACTGCCTTTAGTCTCCTTACTCCTCGTCTCTGCCTTGCTGGGCAAAATCCTTTAAAATTGAAATAGTGAAAGAGTCCGTCCGGTGTGTGAGGCAGTGTTTGTGTGTACGAGTGTGTAATCGTATGTATGTCTATGTGTGTGTACGATGTGGAGGACGATGACAGTCGCGAAGAAGAGGTCAGAGGCAATCGGACGTGGTGACAAAGCGACATCAAGGATGTGGCTCCCTTTTTCCTGCCCCGTCTGGCTGCCTGCCTGCCTGCCTCAGGAATGCACTGCTCCTGGGTGTCTCCACCACAGTCAAGATCTGAGAGCCTGGAAGAGTTTTGTTTTCTCTCGCTCTCTCTCTGTCTCTCTCTCTTGTCTCTCTCTGGCTGACTACACCCCTCCTCCTCTCTCACCCAAAGAGAAGCACACCCTATCAGTCACTCCTTCTGTCACTCTTTCTCCCCACCCTTTACTGCTGTGCTGACAGATCAGGTACCTCCTCCTTTTTCAGGTAAGAGTGTTTACAGCGTCATGTTCTCTGTCTCCATTTCCTCATATTGTCTCCTTGTTTTGTATCTGATAAACGTACAAAAAAAAAAGTCAATAGAAGTGGTGTGCAGCTTAATCTGTTTGCACAATCTATCACCCGAGGCATTAAAATATCCACCCCTAACCTTGTGTGAAATGAGCAGCGGATTACGCAAATGAATCCGTCAGGTGTTTTATACTTTTTTCCAGAATGACATCACAATACGGGTGGGTGAGCAGGTGTGACAGCAAAGTTGGTGTACTCTTACAGTTTCTGTGCCTCGGCTGGCCAACACCCAAACCCAAACTTTAATATTAAAAGACAGTCAAGACCCAACATAAAACAGCATTAAACTAAATTCTAATCAACTCAACTTTGTTTCTAGAGTACCTTAAAAACACAACTGCAGATACGTGTGTGTCTGTATCTAAAAGAAAAAAAAAAAAAGTCACAACTTTCGGACTTGACCATCGCCCAGACATGAAACTTGAAACTAGTGATTGTTACTCGTCCCGATACCAACAAGACTTTCTGTGGAACAAATAGACTGTTGTTTGTCATAAAAATCTAAGTAGGGGTGGACCAAAAAAACAATTTAAATCTGAAAAACGGTTTTGGTTTAAATGCACACACCTACTAAATAATAATGTCTACTCCAGAGAATTACCTAAAGTTCTGATGCTTTTGTCAGGTTAGTTTATTATGAGGAAGTATACAGTAAGCCAAATTTTAATAATTTTGTTTACGAAGACATACTCTCCAGTAATTAAAAAGCTTAATGGAATCCTTCATGCCAGGGCTGCTTATAGTCTCCCTCAGAGGGCAGTTATGACTTAGAAAATCATATAACTGTAATCACCTCATGCTAGTGGTGTGCACGGCAAACCAAAAAAACATGCATGCAACAACATTTCCCTATTTTCTGACACCTTACAGACAAAACCAGTGACTGAATCATAATATATGTTTATGCATTTTCTGCACTGTCAATTTGAAATAATGTGCTTGTGTAAAGGGATGGACATTGAAAATACAGATGAATCAGTAATTACACACAATCACCATTGAGTTCCATTGTTTTGTGTGTGTGTGTGTGTGTGTGTGTGTGTGTGTGTGTGTGTGTGTGTGTGTGTGTGTGTGTGTGTGTGTGTGTGTGCTCTTGCAAGGGTACTGAAGTTGTACTGGTTTGTGTAAAGTGAGGACCAACTTTCCTGGAGACATTTTTTCTTTGTTATTTATTTATTTATTGCAAAACTTGCCAAACTTTGCTTTTTAAAGCAGATTAAATCTGGACCTAAATCAAACCCTGCTTCATCCTATTTTTTCTTATTTGACAACTGATGTACAACATTACAGATACAGTACACATGAACCAAATAACCCTTCTCTAAATCTCTTCCATGATTTAAAATATATGTTTGTATATGATAAACTGCAGTAAGTTACATAATACAAATAAAAGCGCGCACCCACCCTCCCACGCCACATTCTCACACACACACACACACACACGCACGCACACACACACACACACACACACACACACACACACACACACACACACACACACACACACACACACACACACACACACACACAAGTCAGGCTGGCCCCATGGGGAATTCTTTTCACTTCTGAGGGCTTTATTAACGTTCTATCAAGCAACGCTTTTGTCACATCTAAGTTGTACTGTCAGACAAATCGCTCAAAGAACAGTCAAGAGTAAAAGTCTCCTGAGGAATTACTGTACCAAAGTCCTAAGTGAGAAAAGGTTGAGGTTCCACCGAAGGGTGACATTTTGAAGGAAGCACATATGACTCCTGACAAGCTATAAAGCTTAAGAGGATGATGTGTCTGTCGATCATCAAATCTCCAGAGATTTCGTTCAAGGGCTTTTTTGTGAGATGACCAAAATCCTGTGTCAATGGTTTAGAGAGCTGACGATTGAAAACACAACAGGGCCGCAGAGGGTAACGTGGAGGATTAACAGTCCATAGCCTCACAGAGTTTACGAACACCTTCCAGGCATTCCTCAGGGCACCTCCTACTGCTGTGCCTTCTTTAGTCCACCCTCCTCTGTCAAATCCCACGTACCTTCCCTCACTTTCTGTGTGACTCAAACATTCTTGCAACACCCCTTTTCCTTGCTCCCACTTGCCTGCCCCTCTTCATTCAACGGAAAAGAAAAACAAAACAGACAACTAACAACCCCTAAAAAGCTTCACAACCAGTGCTTACGTAAGATACCATTTCTGATTTTGCATTATTCATCATCACAATTACATTAATCTCAACGCAATACACGCAAACAAGCGATATGTATTCCGACCTGCCCAAAGAGTGATAACCAACTTATACATTCACGGAGAGGGCATGAGAACAAAGCTATGATGGCAACAGACTGGTTGGATTTGCCAGGGGTTAAAAAGGTTCAGAGTAGTTGCAGGCAGAGGGGAAGGCATGCTGATTGGGTCTTTGTTGGCCTTTATGCACCATGAATGAATAGCATTAAGGTCCAAATAGGCTGTGCCTCTTCCCATCGTCCATGGGGACACCCCCGATAAGTTTGGATTGTATTTGTTTTTTTGCACCTTAAGATATTAAGTTGGCATTTAGAAACTGCATTTTGTATTTTCTTGGGTTTTCTCCGTGTCATATTAAAATTTATTAACTGAATCCTACTGTATGTGTGTGATAAATATGCAAAAATCACAGAAATCAGGAAGGGGGCAAATGCTTTTCCACAGCACGGTAGTATGACTATCTAATTATAGATGGGCCATGACTATTGCTTTGCTTGTGTAGTTATTCCTTGTGTCTCATTATTACTTCCGCTGAAGAGGGTAATTACACGGTGGAATTTTAAATTAAGTGCATTTCACAATGAAAATGAACTAAGGAACTAAGGTGAAATGGAGGACATGAAAATTAAACAAATGGAAAAAATATATAAGAATATATAAGGCAGCTTATGTTTTTCTTACAGACAAAAACATTGTAAAAATAATCCCGCATGAAATTGAAGCAAAAACGACCAAAAAAAAAAAAAAAACCAAGGCAGCCATGTTACTTTGTAAATAAACTGTAAATGCCTCTGCCTTTACTTAGTGAAGTAACTGTACAAGCCTCTGCGTGTTCTACGGGAGGGACAAAAAAAAATCTTTTGAATAGCCTGTGTTGGAATATACAGTATGTTAATGTGAATGAAGACTTTACAACGTCACGCAAATCAGACTGATGAATATATCAGAAATGTAAATACAAAACGCTGAACATACACAAGCACGACGACAACATTGTGTCCAGCCATTACTGTTTGGACCACTCAAACATGCCCAATTTGAACGGGTCACACACTTTTACATTTCCTCTCCTTTTTTACAGACTACTTTTAGCATTTGGTGTGCATTTTCAAACCTCATGCCACATAACTGCGTGCCAAAAACAGTAGGTGTTTTTTTCTTTTTTTTTAATTAATTATTTCCTGTTTTTCTTCTCTCAACCTGTTCAGACCAACTTTACAACTATTTAAAATAGGTGTGCCTTCCAGATAATGCTGTGTTGCGTTTTTGAGAAGCTGCCTCAAAGTTTGTTTAATAATCATAATCATCATCATCATCATTATTATTATCACCATGATGATCATCATGGAGGATGGAAGAATATACGGGTAAATAACTGCTCAAATTCTTCATTGTTTTATCGTGGTCCAATTCATCATCTTCAATTACTCATAGCTAAGGGAGTTCACAATCTAATTAAATTCATGACTGAGTTATTAGAAGGGAAAACACTGACCAGGAAGAAAGTATATGGTATTTTCATCGATCAAACAAAAGAAAGACAACCGAAAGAGGAATAAACAGGAGCCAGGAGAAGTACGAGATGGTTGGGTGGTTCAGTACAATGAAACAGCGCATAGACTCAAATATTGGAGATGGTTTTCATGCATCTGAATGAATGTAATGCATTTTTTTTCCCATTCCTATTGAAGGACATTTTTCATTCCCACCTAGGCTAAACCTTTAGCTTACGCACACTAATGGCACTCCACACACAGAGATTTATTCAACTGCTGACTTCACCATGATCTAAACAAAAACAAAAGCCAAATTTGGGGGGGGCTAAATAGACGGGAAATGTAGGTTGGTGGCCTGGGAGCTGTCAGATGATAACAGGTCAGGGGTCAGAGGTGAACAAAAGCTTCATAAGACCCACACAGAGCAAGGCGGAGGCCACCAGACATTGTCACTCACTGTTTGTCTCCATTTACCTCAACCCGCACACTTTAGTCCGTCTGTTTGACTTTGAGGTATTGAATCAATTTGTCAAGTGTAAATGGTCATAAAATTTGTGGTCCTTCAACAGATCAGTCGTCTGTCCATTTCCTCCCAACATTGTTTATAAAATGGCTGCCACGGAGCGTCTGGGGAAAAGAACTATCCAAACACCTGCAAGAACAACAGCATTTAAAAGCTTTCACTGGACCAGTCTCGTCAAGCTTTTCCCTCAGTGGTTTTCCGGATCAAAGACAAGCTGAAGTAGCTGTGTTAAAGTTAGAAAGACCATGTAGCTTGAATCATCCATTACGCACATATAGAGAATAAAAAGTAAGTCACTTCTTCCTCTCCAGTATGCCCGCGTGCACAGACATGATGACAAAAGTACAAAATAGTTCGTATTCTCTCATCATACAATCGCAAGATGAGATGCTGTATTTTAAAGCAGGGAACATATGCAAAACAGATTCACCTCAACTACAAGTTTAAAGACCTGTTGAATTTCAAATAGCCCCATCACCACCATCTTCAAAATTGGAGTGTCCAAGAGTGGCCGTACGTGAGACTGAATTAATGATTTGCCTTATCAGATATGCTAGATTACTGATCAGCTCTCTGACAACGGCCATTTGTGAGAAGGTTTGTGCCGCTCTGTC